CCCCCCCCCATGACGTTTAATCTTCAGCTATGCTCGGAGGAACTCGACTTGCCGGAACGCGCTCGAGAGTACTACCAAAGGGGGCTCCGTGCATGCCCTGGGTCTATCCCCCTGTGGCGGCTCGCGGCACGTCTGGAAGAGCGCACCGTGGGAGTTAACAAGGCCAGGCCCATGCTTGAGGTGGCAAGGTAAGGGTGATGGGTTGTTGTTGTTGTTGTTGTTGTTGTTGTTGTTGTTGTTCAAGGCAGAGGCTGAAAGGCAACGTGAGCTGAGCGACATTCCAGCTGTTGCCACCGAAGGAAGAGGAGAAATCGTTCGTTACATCACAGTTGTTTTCCCACAAGTGGCGTCACCGCCCTGATAGTCATACATGTAGTGATGACTCCAGCACACGTGCGCGCACGGGATGCCATCTGTTGCGCGTTGAAATGGAGGCGGTGAGACAGGGTCTTCTTGTTGTCCATGCCTCGAGAGCAAGCCTCATACCCACAGCGTGTCTGCTGTCTCTTGCATTTCGCTAAACACGCTTGGATCGGAGGATGATGTATCGCCGCAGTAGCCGCCGAATATGCCCAATAATTTTTCACGTACCTAATGTAGGTTCAGAAACCCATCAACCGCAACAACCACCAACAAACCCAAAATAGTTTCTCGCACCCTTGGCTAGGAAACCCATATCACCGCAACAGCCACCAACACACCCCGATGTTTTCTCTTACCACACGTACAAATCAATAAACCCTAGTCACCGCGACAGCCACCAGTGCACTGACATAATATCTTGTACCGTAGGTTGAGCAGCAACATCATCCGAGTTCCTGTATCATTGGATAAACCGCCACCCACGCACCTAGACACTTCTCGCACGATGCGTAAATTTAGAAACCCCAACCACCGCAAAAACCACCTGCACGCCCCAGGGTATACTTGTATCAACAGCCATCACCGCAACAAGCCACCAACACACCCCGATAATTTCTTGTGCCATAACTCAGGTTGAGAAACCCGAAGAGTGAGGGTCTATGGTTGGAGGCGGTCCGGCTGGAGAGGCGAACGAGGAACAACAAGGGCGCGGATAGCCTCATGGCCAAGGCGCTGCAGGAGTGTCCCGGGTCTGGCGTGCTTTGGGCGGAGGAGATCTTGGTGGCACAACGAGCCGAGCAGAAAAGTGAGAGATGGCCCAGGCGCCGAAATTTCGTTTCTTCTATGACATCTTAGTCAGAGAAGGAGGGCTTACGTAGACCCTAACCGGAACCCACGAAGTTCCACCTTTGCTAGACTTGATCCAATATTTTTGTTCGGTGGAAAGATAGGGAGAGGTGACGTAGCGATGTTACACCTGTGCTGCAACTCTTCATCTCCATGATATGCGTTTGCTGAGTACAAACCTGCGTTGGCTATGTACTGAAAGTGAGAGAGACCGCGATACGAGAAGCAGGAGCAAGGGTGGCTGTGGTGTGACGTCACGTCTGTAGTAGGCGTGTTGTGTTGGTACTGTTAGGCATCGCTGTGTAGCAGTCGTAGCGTGACGTCCGCAAGCGTGTTGTATTGTAGGTGTTGCTGTGGAGCTAGTCGCAATGTGGTTGTTGCTGTTAAGTAATGGTAGGAGGGGAATGCTATTGATAAGATGGCACAGCAGGCTGAGCCGGCAACCAGATTCAGTGGCTGGGTTGTTCCTGCTACCATTATTGCCATCGTTTTACTCCGTAGACGGTTCACCACGACCTTGCCTACCCGGGTGGACAAGAAATGACACCAACACCAACACCGTTCTTACCGTGCAGGCAAATCCCTGGAGGCGCTCAAGCGGTGCGACAACGACCCGCACGTCATCACCGCCGTGGCCAGGCGCTTCTGGGCGGACCGCAAGTACGCCAAGGCCCGCAAGTGGTTCAACCGCGCCATCACCCTGGACCCCAACATGGGGGACGCGTGGGCGGCGTACTACGCGTTCGAGCTGCAGCAGGGGACCGAGGTTGAGCAGAAAGATGTTCTTGACAGGTATGTATGCATACGTGACGATGGCTGTGCGTTACCCGTGGCCATTGATTCATGGCGTGTATATCACAAACACGCGATGGATCATAGTGTGCAGTGCTTGTGTCATTTGGTGCTAATCGCATACTGTACTGGTTTGTGTTGAAACGTGCGTTTTGTTTTGGTATTTGCAAGTTTCAAGCGTGGGGGACGCGATATATCGTGTGACTTGGCGAGATGCTGCCTAATAACATTTGGACGCCCAAAAACCAGCATATGGCGTGGTGAGATGCGGCTAAAAACGTTTTGGTGCACGAAAACGCGTCAGGTGTGTTGCGGCCGAGCCTGCCCACGGGGAGCTTTGGACGTCCGTATCCAAGACCACCGAGAACAGGCGGCTCGACAAGGCCAGCATCCTCAAGAAGGTCGTGGCCGCATACTTTTCCGACGGCGCTGTGGTGGTCATTCCGGGAGGTCCAACAGGCACCAGCTAGATCATAAAGCGACGGCATCGGCTTTTCGTTATCAACAGGCGGCTGGACAAGGCCAGCATCTTCAAGGAGGTCGTAGCCGCCTACTTTCCCGATGGCGCCGTGGTGGTCGTGGTTTCGGGAGGCCCAACAAGTTCCGGTTGCTGTAGATACAAAGTTGACAATTTGTTCAACATGAGAGAGAGAGAGAGAGAGAGAGAGAGAGAGAGAGAGAGAGAGGGAGACATGTAGGCCAATGTTGCCTTCCTCGCTGCTTCGTTGGGGTTGACCTCAAGAGAGAGGGAGAGAGGCGCACACATGGTTTTCGATCGAAATTTCGCTGAAACGCGGGAAAAACATCCCAGACTGGCCTCCTCCTGGATTGTATGCAGACTGGGACTAAAAACGCCCTTGTGGGCACCGCACTGGAAAACGTAGCCGCATAGAAACGGAGATGTTTAGGAGCTCATCGAACAAACCACTCAACGCATCATTTTTCCCGGAAAGGGACTGCTCCGATTCTGCTGTGGGTGCTGACTGGGGCTTGCCGATGCCGTTTTTCTTTTTTTTTTGCCGTTCGACCCTGAGGCAGTCCTCGACATGTGCCTAGAGGTTCGTATCCTAAACCGGCGTGCAGGTAGAGAAGGTGGAACGAGAATTGGTGGATGTTTGGAGTCGCGGCGTAACAACCCGCCTGTTGTCGGAGAGTAGCGTTTGTTGGAAAGCCTCGCAGAAGCGGTCTTGTGCGAAGCTGACAGCCGTCGATAGTTTTCCTTCGCCACACTTGCGAGTGTAAATGAATCCTAGCGTTGGCTTCGAGTCTACATTCCACACTTTGGACTAACATTCAAACCCTCTGTCCAGCAATCACCGTCATCTGCAGCTTCAGAGTTCCTCCATTTTTAAGGTCGATGTTTCGAAAGTTTCGTCCGCGTTCAATACGATCGTCGCAAGAGAAAATAATCCAGTTGCGCGTAGAGCTCCACGATGAAATCACACGGCATAGTCTAGTGAATGTCGGTCTCCTTTGCATGACCACGTGTTCACCAAAGAGGGAGGACACACGCATGTCTCACGTTCTCGCGCTCGCACGAAGGTGCGACCGACGGTTTAAGAGTGACTTTGGACACCTAAGATTTTTCCTGTCGACCCACCTCCGTGAATCCAGGTGTGTCTCATCTCTTCGCCGAGGGAAGACATCAAGCCTTCGACGCGAGCGCATTTTCCCGTTGTTGGTGTTGCAAATGTACTGTGCGATTTTTGTTTTTCATAAGTAGAACCACCGAACGGAGTCCAGAGACTCTCGTTCAGAGATTCTGGTGCGTGTATGGAAACTTCACATTGCGGCTGAGTGCTGTGCTTGCTCTTGTTTTATTCGTGATGCTTTCCATCAGATGCCGTTCTGGCGTTCTGGGCTTTTCGTTTTTCTCCTCCGTACCATTCATTGCCATCCCTTTTTGAAACGTGTACGATACGCATACCACGGTAAACTGGAACCCATCTCAGTCACGAGGCAGATTGTATTCTGAAGCTTTAGCTTCAGCTTCTCAAACCAATATCCGGGTTTCATTCGAGTACCCCACCCCTTGCCCGACCCGGCCCGAAATGCTGATCTCGAGCTACAACGCAAATCTCGCGCAGTCTCGGGTATGGTTCGGTGGGGAATCGCAGATCATCACCCCTACCCGAGTTTGAGGAGGTTCCGCCTCTTTTGAGGAGGTTTCGCCTCTTGTGGCCGACAAGCGTCGGCCCTGTCTATATCGCCCCGACGGGGCGGTTGAACAGACGTAGAGGGTCCGTCCGTTGCATCGCGGCTGTTTTTTCTGTCCAATAGTCTACATCACATTTTTTTTTTTTTCTTGCTGATAATGAGCTCGCTTGTGAGCTTGCTACGTGAGCGGGGTTCCACCTTACGCCACCTCGATGGTATGTATCCCTCAGGCTACTGTTGCACCACAGCCGGCATCTCGGAGGTGACGGTATCTCTTTGTGTTGGACGCCCGTCATGCACGCACAGCAACAAAATCGTCATGAGCATGTCGGAATATCTGCTGCTGTATCGCGGCTGTTTTTTCTGTCCAAACATCTGAATGAGCTCGCTTGTGAGCTTTCTACGTTTTTGTATGTGTTTCCGACCGCATGTCAAGCAAGCAGGAAGCACATGTAATGTCAACTGCCGCGATCGTTGCCTCTTGTCTTGGTGCCGTACATGCGGTGGTGGTGGTGGTGTGCATCTACGCGGCTACCCGTCGAACGTCATGTTATGCAACTACTGCTGCTGTACACGTTGACAAGTTGAGTTGATGATGATGTGCAAGTACCCGAGTTGAGCAGTTGTTTTCCCGACCGCATGTCAAGCAAGCAAGACCAGTATGTAATGTCAACTGCCGCGATCGTTGCCTCTTCTCTTGGTGCCGTTCATGGTTCGGTGGTGGTGGTTGTGTACATCTACGCGGCTACATACCCGTCGAACGTCGACACAAGTTGACATATATATATATGCAACTGCTGCTGTGCACGTTGACAAGTTGACTTCATGATGATGTGCAACTACCCGACGCTCTACGTTGTATTATGTTGTCTGTGTGTAGATAACTGTAGAGAGAGCCGCAAGCCACCAACTGTCAATTAGTGCAGTAAAGTAGGTGATGGAGGAAGGAAAAGCGCGTACTAGCTTGCCTTCGCCCTAAGACCTCTTCTCTCCCCATCTCATTCCGGACTAGACTAANACGCGGCTACATACCCGTCGAACGTCGACACAAGTTGACATATATATATACCCGTCGAACGTCGACACAAGTTGACACATATATATATGCAACTGCTGCTGTGCACGTTGACAAGTTGAATTCATGATGATGTGCAACTACCCGACGCTCTACGTTGTATTATGTTGTCTGTGTGTAGATAACTGTAGAGAGAGCCGCAAGCCACCAACTGTCAATTAGTGCAGTAAAGTAGGTGATGGAGGAAGGAAAAGCGCGTACTAGCTTGCCTTCGCCCTAAGACCTCTTCTCTCCCCATCTCATTCCGGACTAGACTAATGGAATATTTTCACAAATTACTTCCGTCAACGTGTGAAATCTGTTTGTTTTCAAGGGTCCCCTGGACATGTTCTTCGGGCTCTCGGGTCTCTCCGCACTGTTTTCTAGGGTCCCCGGGGCTTTTTTATGCGGCTCGACGCTTCGCGCAAGACTTGCCTCCAGTGCAAGGAGACGGACTTCGGTCCCGGCACGCTTTTCCGCGGCGAGAAGTGAGTGTTCGTAGCATGACATCCAGTGTTCGTAGCATGACATCCTTTCCTTTAATTCGCGCATGACACCCTTGCCTAAGCTAGCCCAGCCGACGCCGTCGCGTTCTTCAGTCTTCCTGCCCTTATCGCGCCGTGGATTTTCCAGCCCACCCTTGGCTGTGAATGTACTCACTCGGTGGTTTGCAGTTCGTTTGTTTGCAGTTTTCCCCGCATTTTTACCGTTGGCATGTCAGCCCGCCTTTACAAACCGTCCCAAACCCCCTTGCACGCCAGGTGTAACGCGTGCGACATGCATGTGTCGCTAAGCCAGCCGAAGCGCAAGGGCCGGGCCTTTGTGTGCTTCTATTGCCGGACCGACATCGGCGAGGGTGTCCAGTACTTCCGGCTCCCGGATCCCACGGGCAAGGTGAACCTCGATGGCACCCAAAAGGTACGTCTGTTTGCCCATTTTATTTTGCGTTGTTGTTGCGCCGTTCACCCAACGCCCGATAACCATCCCATCTTGTAATTTCTCTTTGCGTTGCTGTTGCGCCCGATAACCATCCCTTCTTGTAATATCTATTTTCTCTTTTGCATTTTGCGTTGTTGTTGCGCCGTCCACCCAACGCCCGACATCATTTTATTTGCGATGTTGTTGCGCCGTCCACCCAGCCCGATAACCACCCCATGTTGTCCAACGCAACAAGTAATGNCATCCAGTGTTCGTAGCATGACATCCTTTCCTTTAATTCGCGCATGACACCCTTGCCTAAGCTAGCCCAGCCGACGCCGTCGCGTTCTTCAGTCTTCCTGCCCTTATCGCGCCGTGGATTTTCCAGCCCACCCTTGGCTGTGAATGTACTCACTCGGTGGTTTGCAGTTCGTTTGTTTGCAGTTTTCCCCGCATTTTTACCGTTGGCATGTCAGCCCGCCTTTACAAACCGTCCCAAACCCCCTTGCACGCCAGGTGTAACGCGTGCGACATGCATGTGTCGCTAAGCCAGCCGAAGCGCAAGGGCCGGGCCTTTGTGTGCTTCTATTGCCGGACCGACATCGGCGAGGGTGTCCAGTACTTCCGGCTCCCGGATCCCACGGGCAAGGTGAACCTCGATGGCACCCAAAAGGTACGTCTGTTTGCCCATTTTATTTTGCGTTGTTGTTGCGCCGTTCACCCAACGCCCGATAACCATCCCATCTTGTAATTTCTCTTTGCGTTGCTGTTGCGCCCGATAACCATCCCTTCTTGTAATATCTATTTTCTCTTTTGCATTTTGCGTTGTTGTTGCGCCGTCCACCCAACGCCCGACATCATTTTATTTGCGATGTTGTTGCGCCGTCCACCCAGCCAGCCCGATAACCACCCCATGTTGTCCAACGCAACAAGTAATAACTATTTTTGTCTTTTGTTGCAGATCCACTACATCCATGGAGATGGGTCCCACTGTGTCGGGAAGGACGTTCCCGAGGACAACACCGCCCCTTGCGCTGGGTGTGACAGCGACGACGTCGTCCTCCATGACATGATGGGGCTGAGGAAGACCGAGTACTTCTACTGCTCCCCGTGCGCCTACACGAAGAGGGCGGACATCATCACCGATGTCCAGGAGTTCTCCGAGATCAAGAGGCTCGAGCGCATGAACGGGGGAACGCCCAGCACGCCCCTCAAGGAAGCCTGCGCCCCGACCAAGAAGCGCTCGCGCACCGACTGAAGTAAGACCGTTTATGTAGTAACTGTTGCTGTTTGTGTGTGTGTCTCTGCTGTGTGCAGTTTTTTCACTCGGGAGTCACTCTCGGGGACGCATACTGTACCTCGCCCGTTTGTCCGCTTCGCCATCAGCATCTAGTTTGTGTTCGGCTTCCTTGCGTACAGGTGTGACGCGTTCATGAACAAGCCACGGATTCGAGCTGTGCGAACCTGGAATCGAGATGTGGGGAGCCTGGAATCGACATGTTCGAGCCTGGATTCGACATGTTCGAGCCTGACATGTTCGAGCCTGGATTCGAGATGTGCGGACCTGCAATCGAGTTGCATGTTCGAGCCTGTCTTCCAGGAAGAAGACTCGTCCTCATCACATCGCCATCGCCGTGTCACCTGCGTGTTGTTTGGTTGTGCTTGTTCTTGTTGCCAAATTTCTTGTCGTTTTTTTGTCCCGTGGTCTTCTTCGTCGTGGTTGGTGACTAGTGGTTTTCGTCGTGGTTGGTGACTTGCGTCATGCAGTGGTCTTCGTCGTGGTTGGTTGTTGTGATCTTCGTCGAGGTCCTCTGGCGTAGTAGGCGTTTTTTCATCTGTTGCTGTAGCGGTCTTCGTCATGATTAGTATCGCCGTCTCTTGCTGTAGTGGTGTTCGTCATGATTGGTGTCGCCGTCTCTTGCTGTAGTGGTCTTCGTCATGATTAGTGTCGCCGTCTTCGCTTGACTAGTTTGAGGGCTTGTTTTACACGCCTCTTGATTGCCGGCCGCGTCTATATGTCTCTTCGTTCCCATATCGTCGTGTTCCCCGTCACCATTCCGACCACAGTATCGTGCTAGAGGTGATAATTTTAAACACAACGCGGCATCGAGGACACACTAATAAATCCCTTGCCGATCATTCGCGTCGAGTTTCCCAACGGAGCGCACACTCAAGCAACACCACACGAACTCCAACACGCACACTTCGCAAGCGATGCCAAACGCGAAGAGATAGCGGACACGTGCTTTTGTCACAACTCTTCCTCGTAGTGTCAAGTTCATCGAGTGGGTTTTGTCAGACTTGCCCACCACTCACTTCGCACGCGATGCCAAACGCGAAGAGGTAGCGCTTTTGTCACTACCCCTTACTTTTAGTGTAAATTCTACACCATATCCATCGAGGGGGTTTTCTCAGTCTCAGACTTGCCCACCACTCATGCGTTCGAATGAGACACCGACACACTGGCGAGCACGATGCCACAGGTTTCGTCATTACCGCACACTTCGATTCCACACTTACAACCAGCGACGTGTGCGTCGTCGAAGCGCACATTACTTCATTCATTTTCATCATTTTTCATTTTATTTTTCATTTCTCAGCTGTAGACAGACCTGGGTCGCTCTAGCCGCCCCGCGTTAGGACACCGACACATGTAGCGGTTGCCACCGACCGTGGCCCGCGGACAGGATCCAGTACACACACTCTGTTGGCACCCCCGTTTTATTTAATTTCACGAGCGGTGTCAGCCCGCATTACACACTCTCGTCCACGATTTGGGAATGCTCGTGCTCCGCCTGCTTTGGGGATGCTCGTGCTCCGCCTTCTACTCGCTGTTGCCTACACATGCGCTATGGCTTCCGGTTCCAACGGAGGACATGGTGGGGGTGGTCGCCGTGCTACAAGCGGGCGTGGAACCAACCGTCGTGTTGTTGCAGCTTGGCGCACACTGTCGGGCCGTGGACGCGGCATGCGTGCATCCCAAGCTCGCGGCGGTGGGAGGTCGTTCTTTGCAGCTGCAACCCCCGTGTCTGACCTACCTAACATAGGGCTCTTGGCGCTTGGACCATCAGCCCGGCGGACAGCCCAGCCGCAGCAATCCCAGCACACCCGCACTACGCTACGTGCGGAGAGAATCGACCGCATGACTACCCAGCGTCAAGCAACCGACGCTCGCTTGCGTGAGCGTGTTCAACAGGCAGCCAACGCCAGGTGAGTCTAGACTATCTAGCCTACTGCTTCAACCTCACGCCAGCTTGCATTGCACAAAACCATGTTCCTGCGCGTCGTAAGCAGGCTCTCTAGACTACATACTTCCAATTCCACGAAACCGATGCATAGTAGATGTATTGTAGACTATTGCCTTTGCTGCGTATTGGCAGTTTCGCGATGAACACGTTTTGTAGACTAATATCTTTCCTGCGTATTGGCAGTTTCGCGATGAAAACGTTTTTTTTTCGTGATAAACACGGTTTTGCGGCTAATTCCAGGGACGCCACCCGTCGCCGTAAACGAGACGCCAAGTCTCGAAAGCGACAGGCGAAACGCCTCGGCCACGGGCGTGCCGCCAGACCTTTGGCGTTTGCTCCTGTCGTCAAGCAGCGTCCCATCTTGGCCTTCAACCACAGCCAAGGAAGGATCGACGGACATGATACACCACACCTGCTCGACGACATTCACCATCCTTCCGTTATGCACAAGTGCCTAGCAGACTTCGACACCTTTATGGTCAACTCCATCCGCAGGTTCTGACACAACGGATCTAAGAAAAGCAGTCTAAGATAGATTAGCAATGAATCCATGGCGTCAGAGGAACGCTACCTGTATGTCTACGGTTTCCCTAACAGCACACAGCGATACCTCCCCTGTGGGTAACAGGCTCAACAACACAGTTAGCCATCTTGTGTATCCTATCTGCATGTTATGTTGGGAAGTTGTAGACGGAAGATGTTGCAACTCGGTTTGTCGGGTGTGCTACAGTCTCACTCATATGTTACTCCCCAATATGCCTGCTGTCACCACAGGACATCTTGTGCGGTGTGCGATCGGTACTGCAGGAAGATGCATTGCAAGTTGGTAGCCGTCAAGGACTTGCCCCACAAATACTTGCTCGTCGCCAACGAAAGCCTCTTGAACTGTGCGGCGGTCAGAGACGAGTTCTTCAACTACCCTGGTGATCATCGTAACGTGCTAGATGGGCATGTGCTTGCACGTCAAGGATTTCAGCCTGATGCGCCTCATCACCTCCGGGTATGTCAAGAGTGCCTCAACAGCCTGCTCAAAGACAAGATGCCGGAGGCTGCTCTGGCTAACGGGCTGTGGCTTGGCGATTTCCCGGACCACCTACGTGGGGCAACTTTCGTCGAGATGATGGCTGCGAGCCCGGTCAGGATAAGCGGCATGGTGTTGGCCTTAGATGAGTTGAAGGTTGGCAACGTGCGTGGTTCCGCCAAGAGTCTCATGCGAGGTACTTTTACGTTCTACATGCAAGACGCCTACGGTGTGCAATTGCGTCTCCCTGCTTGCGATACCGACATCGCCGGATCATTCACCTGTGCCCTTGTTGGTGCGAAACCTTCCGTCGGCCAGCTCCGGAAATTGTTCGGTGCACGGCGCAAGATGGTTGAGGATCTCCTTGCATTTCAGCTGGACAAGGACAACCAACTGGTAGGAGTGCACCAGCTGGCGCAGGAAGCTCAACTTTCGGCGGAAAACCTTGACACATACAAGGATGACGGCTCTATACCAAAGGCGATTTTCGACGCCCTGCTTCCCGTCAACGACTCCACCAATGCCTACGCCAATGCGCGCTCCACGCACGCACATGGCAACCGCGAGCCGGACGACCATGAGGACGGACCGGCTCCACCTGCTGCCGCTGACCACGCCGACGACGGTGCAGGTGCCACACCTCCGTTCATCATCGAGACCAACGCCATCATGCCGTCAGGAGACGATCTCGCTGTCTCTAGCCATGCCAAACCCGGTCGTCTCCGCACCCTGGGCGTTGTGTTGAACTCACGCCATGGTGGTCGACCGTCTGCTGCGACAGCGGCATCTGGTGATGCTTCCCTGCCGCAAATGGCGGCAGCCCAAGCTCGTGCGGCTGCTGGGCAGCCTCCTGACGGCACGCAAAATGCCTTAGTTCTCACCCACTCTGGCCAAATGGTCTCGGACTTCCACAACCCTGGGCTGTTCGTGGGGGCATACTTCGATTTGTTCCCACATGGCGTTGGAGGGCATTTGGACAAACGGACAAGGCCGTTGGACCTCAAGCGTTGGGCTCAGATTCTTCTGCGAAGGCGGGATGCTCGGTTTCGTAAGAGTCGTACGTTCCTGTATTGCGTGTGCGCCCTGATTTTTAGGCGGGAGGCGATCTCAAACGCCCGGTGGAAGCTGCGTGGACGTGTGCCGAGGGATGTCGCATCCAGAATTGCTCGCGTCACCGCACAGGACCTCAGGGCGGTTGCAGCTGAAATGGAAACAGGCTCGAGTGGCTTCTCTGCTCTGGCTGATCGTCCAGGAATCCGAGACCTCATCAAGAACATGGAGTCCGTGCACGCTGGGGCATCGTGGACCATCTACAACAAACGTTCCACCAGAATGATCGCAATATCCTTCATCATGCAGATGGGGCAGCCGTTGTTCTGGTTGACGATCAACCCCGCAGACGTCAACAGCCCCATTGTTATGGTTCTTGCCGGCGTGGAGCTTGACGTCACCAGCCGCCTCAAAGCCGACTTTCCAGCTTATGCGGACAAGCTCAGATTCGTCGCGAACGACCCGGTTGCATCAGCTGATTTCTTCCACGCTACCATCGACGCCGTTCTCACGTGCTTGCTTCGGTTCGGAGCTTGTGACGGTGATGGCGGTGTTCTGGGACGGGTGAAGGGCTACGTTGGTATGACAGAGGAACAGAAACGCCTTACACTTCACTGTCATCTGCTCGTGTGGGTTTACGGCTACAACGACTTTGCCTCATTCCGCGAGCTCATGGACAAGACTCCGACGAGGTACTTCGAACTTGCAGAGTACCTGGACAAAGTGATTTTCAATCAAATCGCCACACTCAGCGACATCAACCACGTCATGCGTGGTGTTCAGCCTTCGCCGGAAGTGGAGACCGACGCGCCAGCACCTCCGCCGGATCAGCTCATGCGTCCGGCAAAGGAGCGTATGGCGGTTCCACCGCCGTCTTCCTGTTTTCCACGTGACGGCCAGCCGCGCAACAACGTCCACGACGACAAGTACGCCCACCTCATGTACCTCGACTTGGCTGGCCTCACCGGTGGGGCTAACTTGCACAAGTGTCAGGCGACGTGCCGCAAGTTCAACCATGGCGACTCCTGCAGGTGAATTCTCCCCCAATAACACCCTGTGTACGACCAAGTAGACTCCAAGACGTCTCTATGGATTTTTGTCTCATCGTTTAATGATTTCCACTTCGACTTCAACAGGTTTGGGTTTGGTGACAAAGGCAAGCCCCTCGTGCAGAAGACGGTTGTACAACGCGGGCGTTGCGTTTTCGACACCGACGGAAACATGACTATCAATGGCATCGTCTATTCTTGGAGCTCCGCAAAGGATGCCGCGGCTGCCGCATCAAACGAAGCCTTTCGCGCAGCTTTCGATGCCAGTATCGCACACTTGGTGAACGACAACGGCCTTCCCGACCCCTTGTCTGATCGTTTCACGGCGGAGCTTCGTCGCCTGCACTCGCACATCAACAGCTTCAACCCCGTCATCCAGTTCGCCATTCGCAGCAACATGGATCTCAAGATTCTCTTGAGGGACAGCGACGCCAAAGGACTCTTGTTCTATATCCTCAACTACAGCACCAAAACGGAGCAAACTTTGGACGTGTTGCTACCTCTGCTAGCACCCGTGGCTGAACGGATCAGAGAGCAGAGCGATGGGGCACCCGAAAAGGAGCTCGCTGTACGGCTGGTGAGGTCGTGCCTGTGCAAGCAATTGTCCAGCCTAAGCATCGGTGGGCCAGCGGCAGCAAGCAAGGTTTTCGACTTGCCGGACCACAGGATCTCCCACCCAACCGTCCCGTGCTCCATGAGCCCGCTGCTAACGTGGGCGACGTCTAGGGACGGCCCCCTGGACGGCGAAGTCGACCGTGTCGACGACAGCAGCGACGATGATGATCAAAACGACAGCGACGTCGAGGAGAGCATCATCATCACGCCTTTCAAAGGCAAACTCACTGTCGCGCAACGTGTCTACTTACTCTACCTCAAGCGATGTGACCCTAACGACACAACTAATCCCGTGCACGGCATGTCCTATGTCGTGTGGCACAAACTCGTCCGACTCGAGCGATGCTTACCAGGCCGCAACCATCCGGCGCCGACTGATCGTTCCGACGATGATTCCGAGAGTAGCGGGGATGACGAACCCTCGGATGCCGACGACATCGGGGATGACGACTCCAATGGCGACGATGTACCTGCAACACGGAGGCCCGCACGTGGTCGACCGAGGGCAAACCGTTTGCGCTTTGTCGGGGACTTCAAAAACAAATGGCACCAGGTACCTCGTTTTCATTTTTGCTCTACACTACATTTTCCGTCTTATATTGTCCTCGCCTGCTGATTTCTACTTGCGGCCGACACCCTCGTAACATTTTCATCTCACCTCTTGGCACCCTTTTCCTCGTCTGTTGTCCACCTGTCGTGCTAGGTGATGCGCGAGAAAACGGCCATGGTCAACATTATGCGTGACATCCCGAGGGCGGACACTCAGCCAGTTGCTCACGCGAGGCTGCTTCTGTGTATGTTCGTTCCGTTCTTCAACCTGGACGACCTCAAACTCAACGGCGAGTCATGGACCCAGGCCATGGCTAGGATTGACGCATCCAACTCCTGGGATCCCTTCTCCAAGCCGCTTCGCCTCAATATTAAAGGAATGCTTGCGCAACGACTTGCCGCTGACGAGGAAACTGCAAAGCGAAAGGCAGAGCAGGCGGCGTTAGCGGAACCCAGAGACCGTACGGGCACAGACACCGACGGAGAGTTGCTCGTGGATGACTACGGCAGCCTTGACGTCGACGAGACGAGCGTCATGCCAGTTTCAATCCAACGGCTAAAAACTGACCTTTTCGTTAAGGACGCCTTGCGATCATTTGGTGCCGGTCCCGATGCTGCTTCGGCCACATTGGCCATGGCTCGACAAGAATCTGCTCTAGAGCAAAAGATGGGTCACCTTTCGTCTTTGGTGGATTCTGTGGTTGAACCTTCAACAGCGTCAACCGCGACATCCACCAACGCCGTGCCTCTTGCACCGTACCTCATGAAACTTCGCGATGCTGCTCACGCGGGGTTGTCGGTTGAGGCACGCATTCAACGTAACGCCAAGCGTGACGGCACCAACGCTGCCGTCGCTAACACAGACGTCGGAGCCATCGCAACATCACAACATCCCGTCGCGGTCAGCATCGCCCAGGAATTCGGGCTCAACCGCAAGCAGCGGCTCGCGTTTTACATCTTCGCCAACGGTCTTCTCGCTCAGAACCGCCCGGACCCTCCGGAGGCACTTCGCCTGTACATCGGTGGCGGCGCTGGCACTGGAAAATCCCACGTGCTCAAAGCCATGAAAGCCTTCATCGACTGCCCGACACTCGCTGGTCAAATCCCACCCGGCCGTCTCTTGACTGTTGCATTTCAAGGCAAAATGGCCTCTGCCGTCGGTGGGCAAACTGCACACTCCACGTGCTCAACAGGCGGGGGAAAAGAGGGAACCTTATCCGGCGACCACGACGACCAGACCTCACTCAACGAGAGCAAAGCCATGGCCTGGAAGAACGTCACCACCCTGGCTATTGAGGAAGTCAGCATGGTCGGGTGCAAGCTTTTAGTCAGTCTTCACAAGGCCGCGTGCTCCATGTTCCCGCTTCACAAAG